GACGAGGTCGGGGGGACCGGGGGGACTCTTTCACACCCCCCCCCTAAGAACTCGCGAACGGTATGTCGTATGACCACCAAATTTTAAGAGAATGGTGTACTAGTAAAAATTTATCATATCTACAATTTTTCTGTCGTTATGACGTAATATGACGTCATTATGACGTCATTAATTTGATTTTATTGGCCAAAACCGTCCAAATAAGTTTTCCCCTGAAAACTAAATGGTATTCAACATAACTGTACCAAAAGTGTTTATGACAGAATATTATAGTGTTCTAAGTCTTATGTTGCATAGCAACACCGGTGACGTCATAAAATGTCGATCGTAGTATTTACGCTCTCGCTCCTTCTCGCTCTGGATCTTTCTTGGGATCTCACTAAGCAGTTCTATATCTAGTAAGGCTCTTCTCAATGGCATTGTTGTTTAGGTTCTTCTGTTGAATAGCCGTTTGTGTTGGCCTGCTCCTAACACCTTGTGTCGGTATATTCCTAAGATCTAGCAGAGCTACATAGGGATCAGTCTTCCCTCTGAATGCTTTCTCCATCAGCTGCTTGGCTGTCTTGACTGCATTCTCTGCTTTACCATTACTCTGTGGATAGCCTGGCGAGGATGTTTGGTGTTTGAAGTGCCATTCTTGGCAAACTTCTCAAACTCGTCAGCTGTGGATTGTGGTCGATTGTCGCTGATAACCACATCTGGGATACCGTGCCTTGCGAACTGTGCCTTGAGCTTCTTGACTATCGTCGAGGCTCGTGTGACGTTCTCACACATGTCAATCTCGAAGTAATTCGAGTGATAGTCCACAGTGATCAGGTACTCCCTCTGCTGGAACGTGAACAGATCTGTTCCTACTCTCTCCCATGGCCTCTGCGGGATAGGGTGTGGTTCCAGTGTTTCTTTCTGCTGCTTTCTGCCGACAGTTTGGCATATGTCACATCTGCTGACGTAGTCTTTGACTTCAGCATTCATCCCTGGCCAATACACGCAGTCCTTAGCGAACCTCAGACACGCTTCTATTCCCATGTACGACTGGTGTATCCTTGTCAGCATTCGGCTCCTCAGGGACTTTGGTATCGTTGCACGATCTCCCCTCAACACTATTCCATCTTGTGTGCTGAGTTCATCACGCACATGATAGTACGGCATCGGGTTTGGAACTTCCTTCTTCTCAGGGAAGCCCTCTCAATGTCATCATCTCGGGGTCTGCAATCGTGCTTTCCCGTATGTCTTCTCTAGTAGGCGTGGAGATAAATTGACTTATCATGTTGACCTGCTAAGCCTCTCTCTCTGTTGTGCTTCTGCTTCCTTCTAGTGGCAGGTACGCACGGCTGAGAGTGTCCGCCAGGAACATCTCTTTTCCTGGTTTGTACGTGATCTTCACGTAGTACTGCTGTAACCGCATCAGCATTCGCTGCAATCTCTTCGGTGCTGCATGGAGGGGTTTCAGTGCGATCATTTCAAGCGGCTTGTGGTCTGTCTGGATACATACTTGTCTTGAATAGGTGTATTGATGGAAGCATTTCAGACCGACGACCACACTCTGCATCTCCTTCTCAATCTGTACATATCTTGTCTCAGTGTCTGTCAACGCTCTGCTGGCGTAGGCCACTGGTTGTCCTCCTTGAGTGATTGCTGCTCCTACTCCTGTGCTCGATGCATCTGTCAGCAGCGTCAAATCTTCGTCATGATCATAGTATTGCAACACCAGAGCATTAGAGACCATCTTCTTTAGTGTCTCTAGAATCTTCTCATGCGTCTCGGTCCATTCAAACTCGTTATCTTTGACAATGAGGTTCCTCAAGCGTTCAGAGATGTCGCTCAGCTTTGGCAGTGACCTTGCTAGGGTCCACTTTTAATCCTTGGCTGGTGATCAGATGACCATGAAATGGTACTTCTTGTTGTCTGATCTTGACCTTCTCTGCGTTCAGCTTCAGACCTCTCTCTCTGCATCTTTGCATGAGGCGCTTGAGGTTTGCATCATGATGTGAGATGGCTTCTGCAATTGTTTCTCCACACCAAGATTTCGTCTAAGATGGGCTTTATTCCCTCAAGACCTTCCAATGCTTGGTCAAGTCTTCTGGGGACGACTTAATCCCAAAGGGGAGCCGCTTCCACTTGTATCTCCCACTGGGAGTGTTGAACGTTGTTAGAAGTGAGGACTCCTCGTCCAACACTACCTGCCAGTAGCCACTCTTGGCACCAAGTACGCTGAAGACCTTTGCCTTCTTCAGCGGGGAGGATGTCTTCAATTGTCGGCGATGGGTAGTGGCTTCGCTTGAAGGCTACGTTCAGGTCTTGTGGATCTATGCAGATCCTCAGCTTTCCGGACGGCTTCATCACGGTCACAAGACCTGATACCCATGGCGTCGGTACTGTAACTGGCTAGATGATACCTTCTTCGGTCATCTTGTCCAATTCTATCCTAAGCTGGTCTTTCATCGCCACTGGAACTCTTCTGGGAGGATGTACAACCGGCGTAACTGCATCATCTACTTCCAGATGACACTCTCCAGGGAGTCTTCCCAGTCCAATGAACACATCCTGGTACTCTTCTATCGGGCTCTCTGTCTGTTTACAAACTGTCAAACACTGGCAGTAATTGGCTCTTGATGGATGTCTACAAAGACCAACTTTGACCCTGTTCTGATCTTCGACCTTCCACAGCTGAACCAGGAAGTTGTCTAGACTTTGGAATGTGCTGTTACTCACAATTGTGACCAAAAAAATCACCTTTTTATGTGGTAACGTAAACAGAGGACGCCAACACAATTAAAGATTTCCAGATGGTGTACAGGTGAAAGATTCAACCCAGATCAGTGCGCCACAGATCAGTGCGCCAGTGATTGGCGACCCACGCATTCCAGCTCACGGAGTATAACAAAACCCAGATGTAGAGATAGCCATCCGCCAAAACAGCCAAATTACCGTCAAGATTAACGGTTTCCAGATGGTACACAGGTGAAAGATTCAGCCCGGATCAATATGCCAGTGAGTGGCGACCCACGCATTCCAGCCCACCCACACATTCCAGCCCACGCAGCGTAACAGAACCCAGATGTAGCAGGCCTCCTGCACCCGGTACAGAATAGCACCAGAGAAATCATGAAAATCTCTTCGCCGTAAGATTCTTACTTGAATGTTGTTCGAACACTACATTCACCACTTATTTTGGTATCAAAAGAAATAGTTATTCATTTTTCGAAACAGAGCAAACTCAAAACTTATTCGGGTAATGCAAGCATTATTACACTATCAATACGAATAGTTTACTCACTTTTGAGATGTCTTGGCCTTTTTTGTGTGTGAGCCACTCTCCCTCACTGGTGTCCTGCGACTCGTCGCGACGTCGTCCTGTAGAAACAACGGTGTCAGTCTCTCCCGCCCTCATCGGAGACCGGTTTATGGCGCGAAACACATCTTCGTCCCCCAACACCTCCTGGGTGAACGGAGTCAACTGACTCCATTCTATGTCGAGTCCTCCGTCCTCCGCAGTTTCTTGCGTAAAAGACTGCGACCAGTCGACGTCATGTAGCTCGACCCAAGGCGTATCCCCTTCCCTCGGCTCGTCCCGAGACCAGTTTATGCTCTCCAGGTCCAAAGAAGTGACGACCTCTTCGTAGCGAGATCTAGTACACAAATACAGGGAAATATTGTGAAAAGATACAGTATCTTGAAGTTAGTGGAAAAGCAGTTACCGGAGAAATCATTCAGGAAAATGAGATACTGAGAAAATGAGACAAGTACACACACCTCTTTGCGTCTTGGCGATCGTCATCTGGCTGGCGGCGTTTCCTAGCATTGTCTGGATCCATCATCAGCTATGCAGCAAGCTCGCAGGAAAGTCAAATTCTAGCGATTTGGTCTCTCATTTATAGCCTATTCGATGTCACCGCACGCTTAATTAATTGACCAATCCTAACCACACACACACACAGACGTCCGACCAATCACCGCGGGGCGCACCCTGGCTATAGAGCTTATTCACCACACGTCATCATGACGTCACCACCCCTCATGTCCCGTGCGACGCCATTTTGGGGTCCACCTCTACAGCGAGTTTCCAAGCGTTGAAATGGCCGACAAACGTTAGGTAAACTGTCCTTTGTCCTATTACACGAAGACTTTACCACCACTCATACCTCTCGTTACTGGAACAAAATAAAATCTGTCGGGATTGACCCGTTTTTGTTGAGTTTTCAATTTACCTTCCCTTGCGAAGGGACACAACCTTTTCCGGAACAAGCACGTTTGACGAAAAGCAAGCAAGTTTGATCAACGGTTATAGAGCTGTTATTAGGCTGTGTCAACATGATTTGCAGAAGTTGCCAGATATACACAAGTCACAAAAGCACCGCATTCGAAGCGTGACTTCCTTTTTCATATTTCAACTGGCAAAGTTCTTTTCGACACTGGGAATACTAGTACATGCATGTACAAGATTCACAGCTCAGACGAAAGGGAGCCAAAGTGATGCCTGTACCCTGTTCCAGCTTGCGCTCTCTAACAAATCGCGTACTCTCCAAGAAGAGCTCGAGGTTTGGGGTTTGCTCCATTTTTAGCGTGTTTTAGGCTTTTTTTATCTTATTTTTTTGCACTGATATATTTTTACGCCAACCCAACGCGTCAAAAAAAGATACCAGTGCAAAAAAAGAAATACCGATAAAAAAAGCCGAAAACACGCCCAAAATGAACCAAGGACTTGTGTGGGACTACATGTACGTGCAACAATGCCCTGGTAACCCTACCCCTCACGGGTACAGAGTGGTCTATAAGGGGAACTGGTCTTTGTGTCGCCTGGCTCTTTGATAATAATACCCTCAAAACGATTAGCATTGTGAAGACATTGCTAACGACATTAGCGACTTGGCGCCGTGCCACATGTTTCCTTAACAAGCGTGTGTTGTAGATAGAGGACTTCCAGAATCAAACCGTTGAGGTAAGCTGAAATACTTTTATTTTTCCCCCTAAAACAATGTCTTCAGAAAACGTGTACAAAAAGTATCAACTTGCGTTAAACACACAATAGTGTCGATCGATAATCCAACTGGCGTAAATCCCTCGATTCGTGGTTTGGTCTACCTTAGGCCACAGCAAGTAAATTTTATGGATGACATCCTCTGCAGACTCCAAATCTAATGCGATAGGGCGAAAAAAAACAAGGCGGGTCCAAAAAAAATATATTCCTACATTTTCAAATTTTGACATCATAAACCGTGTTAAACAAGAAATAATACCTATATTGTCCTATGTTTACTGTCAACTATTACAACATCCATTTCTCACTGAAGAATAAAGGTTTTCCACCTTTGTACAAATGATTTTGATTCAGTGGGAACATCAAATATACAGAAACACCATCACATATAAAATGAATGAAATACATAACTGCATCAAAGAAAAAACATTAGATTAGAGTCTTGTCTTGTCTCCTCTCGTCATATTTATCTGCCATCCACGTTCCGGCATGGCAACAGACATCTTTGCCCATTTTCGGCATTTTGACCACTTTTAGAGGGCAACAAAATTTCTTTTTTTCTTCCAAAATCAGACGAAAATTAAGTCACGTGTACAAATGTCATCCATAAAAATCACTTGCTGTGGCCTTAGCTGCTTGGCAATGTGCCTGATGCTGTCAGCGCCTCATCTTCCTGTAGTACACTCCTGTGGTTTTGGTTGCCACAGTTTACAGCCATCTTCTCAGTCAGGTGTCCAAGTCGGATTACATTTGTACTTCTAAATGCATTGGATATCAATAATTCACCGAAATCACCACCCAAATGTTCCCAGGTCAGGGTTGACAGTCCTCTGGTCGATACGCATTGTACAGCGCATACGTGCTGTTTTATTAGGCCATGTTGAGTTGATAATATGGATGACATCTACGCGCGCATGAATTTTCGGCCGTTTCCAAAAAAAAACGTACTTTTCGACCATACTGTAGATCGTACAAAAACAGCGAATATATGTCGTGTGTTGCCAAAAATAAATTGGAAAACGATACTAATCAATTCAGGAAAAAGAAGAAAATGTGAAGAAATGAAAATGAAGAGTCTATTATCATTCGCCATACCATACGATGTGTGTTTGGTCATTTGTTCAACCTTTATGACCACGAGGTTTCATAATGAAGGAAACTTTTTTTTCGCACGCTCACATCAGTTTTGGGATTCCCAGAGGATGTCATCCGTATAACCAAATCAACATGGCCTAAGTACTAATTTCGCCGGACGCTACCCCGTGGTTCAATAGCTTGTTCAGTCATCTATATTCTGTCTGGCGCAGTGGCCATTGATTTTGAGTATATCACGTAAGGCCACATCAAGTAAATTGTATGGATGACATCCTCCACAGACTCCAAAAATCCATGCAACAGGGCAAAAAACAAAATTTTTATATTTTCAGATTATAAACCTTGTTACACAAGAATCGAGGCAACAATCCATGATGATATCAAAACCAACAGGTCTTTTATTCCTGTATTCAACTTTATTAACTGTTCTTATAGATGCATGAGTATGCATCTCAGTTAATTATAACAATTGTAGAAAAGATTTTGTCGTACCAGCATGGACAGCTACGACTTGGATTGTACGTCAATCCTTGCCATCAAACGCAAGAAATTGCGCCTTAAGTTTGCTGGATCCCTGAAGGTCTCTGAACCTATAAACGTTTGAAATTTACGAAAATTTGCCCATTTTTTGCACGCGCACGTTGACCACCGTCAAAGGACATCAGAATTTCTTGGTACATGTTTTTTTTTCAACATCAGGCGAAAATTAATGTGCGTTGATGTCATCCATAAACTTACTTTGCTGTAGCCGTGTGATGTCGTCCTATTTGCTCCCCGTTTCCAGGGAAGGAAAACAGAAGTTGAAGAATTTCAGTAGGCACCGAAATTCCTCCGCATTCTTAATTACCGGGGTAATGCAGAGGGAATTTGCGTTGGCCTAGCTATAGCTTCCCTTTGAAATACGACTTTCCATTGGAGGAATAGATTGGGTTCAATCCAGAAGAGGGGCGCTATGGGTGAACGCACACTTCAAGATCGACGGCCCGTCGTGCACTCTGTCTTGCCAGTTTAGACCTGCCGATAGCCGTTCCTGCGTGTCAGGTGAAGGGGCCACTTTCTTCCTTATATGTACATAAAACAAGCGGGAGGTCTGTCTGCACGGTGGGTTGTGATCATTGGTCTCTCGGAAGAGAAGAAGACACTGTCGTCTTGCTCTACGGTCTACTGGCTTGACTAAATTTTCCCGCCACAGCTCAAAGCTTAATGCATGCCGCGGATTCGTTTACCAGGTAAAGGGTTAAACTGGTCGATAAGACGTGTTTGTGTTTGCTCTGTTGTAGGTCAAACTGTGCTGCCCCCGGGGGCGTGTAAACACATGTGATGAAGGTGTCTTTGAAGTCTGTATTTCTTTGTGTTCGCAGGACCGCAGCAGGCGACCGAAGACCCTAACTGATGTGCCCCGTACATCGTGCCGAGATGGTGCCCGTCCACGTCACGGAGAGGGTCTGCTTGACTCCGGAACCGCTAGAGAAACACTGCTACAAGAGCTGTTGCGAGTACGAACAGGGGCACCGCTACATAGAGGACGTACGGTACGTGCTGGGTCTGTCTCAGGTGCACTACCTGACGTCCTACATCCACAACCCTACTCACCCGTCCACGCCTGAGTACCACATCAGCGCCGTGCGGTGTGAGCCTCGCCACAAACCACGCCGGTGGCTGTCTACAGTCATTCTGTATCCCAAGAGGCCTGTTAGGAGCTACACCTCTACAGTGGAATACAGAATGGACAACAGACCCACTACGCGGAAGTTGTACATGACCAAACTAGACATGGCGGTCGAGGAAAACGACATCGTCGCCACGAACATGTTATACTTCCCGAAGAGGCGAACTCCGTCCTTCTGGTCTTTCTTCGTCACCGAGGTTAACAACAAGGCGTTGGGCAGGAAATTCGACGAACTGAATAACTTCAAGATCAAGCGTGAATGGAGAAAACAACTGTCCTTGCAAGTAATAGCGTAGACTAATGCCACCTCAAGAATCAATCTAAGGCCACGGCAAGTAATTTTTATGGATGACACCAACGCGTAATTTTTATGGATGACACCAACGCGTAATTTTTATGGATGACACCAACGCGTGATTTTGTTCGCCTGATTTTTGAGAGAAAAAAAAATTGTTGCCTTCTGAAAGTGGTCAACATGCCGAAAATGGGCAAAGATGTCTGTTGCCATGCCGGAACGTGGATGGCAGATGAATATATGAAGAGGGGAGACAAGACAGGGCTCTGATTTAATGTTTGTCTAGCGCTTTACTTTCATGCAGTGTTGCATTTCATTCCTTTTAAATGTTATGTACACAGAATTATACCATTTGTACAATGACTGAAAAATGTTTATTTTTCTGTGACAAATGGATTTTGTAATAGTTGGCATAGATATAGCACACTAAAGTATTATTTCTTTTTTTTAACAAGGTTTACGTTGTCAAAATTTGAAAATGTAGGAACCTTGTTTTTTGGGCCCGCCTTGGTTTTTTTCGCCCTATCGCATTAGATTGGGAGTCTGCGGAGGATGTCATCCATACAATTTACTTGGTGTGGCCTAATGGGTCGATAAGAAAATCCAGGCTGTACAGGTTCTATACACACCACTGATGATAGTTCAACATACCGGCTGATTACTATTGATTGAACGACAGGCTCCGTTTGAGGGGTAATTACGTGACCAACTTCCTTGGATGACCGGCAGCAGTTCGATCGTTCGATAAGTCAAAAGACAGTTACTCAAGTAACTGGATATGATTTTGGAAACGGTCAGACATTTCAGGTAGCACCCACTACCTTTCATCAGTGACACCAGAGAACTTGGTAGCAGAAATGCAGGTTTATAAGCACGAACTATTGATTGATATGCAAATAGTGATGAAATTTTTTTGGAAGTATTTCGATAATATTGATGATTGTCGGGTTTGTAGCCTACCTATAGAATAGAAACTTAAATGTTGCACTCTAGAGAAGTCTATAGAAAATGGAGAAACGATATATATGTGATGATAATAACGCTGTTGATCATCAATTGTATATGGTGATATATATTAGGTTCCTTTTAAACATAGCACTATGACGCTTTCTTTTCAAAGTAAATGTTGAGATATTTCAAATGCTACCCGAAACGTATCATAAATTATCAATTCTTAATGCGAACTGGCACGTAGTGTATACTTGTTCATCATATTCAATTTGATACTCATTTATTTAAATATGGTGTAAACACGGTCCTGTTTTTAGATTCATTATGATTAGTTACTTTAATATGCAAATATTTATGTAGGAATAATAAATAACGATGTTTTATGACACAGTGGCTTTAGATTTACTCTTATATGAATAAACGTGTGACAGAAATTTATGACACATTTCTCCATTTCCAATATTAATATCCTACAAAATTTTCTGAGCTAACGTAATTCATGCCACCACTACATTTATACAAAGACGTCCTACTGCTATTGCTGCTTTCCTGGATTTAAAAATAAAGAAACTTAATGAAGCAATTTTAAACTTATCCAAATTTCCAAACTTATCCAAACTTCAGTCTTTGTCAGGGAATAAGCAATCCGCCGTCACGTTAAGCAGATGACACACGTGACTCGGTGAGCGCAGTGGGTCATATGTTGCAGGAAGTCTGTGGCGCCCCGTCTCAGACGCAGTGTATGAATTGCAAATTCCTTGACAGGCCGGAGTTATACAGTCGAAAAGTCAAATTTCTTGTGTTGGAAATAACGGTGTAAACTTGCTCCATAATGACCTCTATATGCTATCAACGTTACAGATGAACTTTCAAGATAAGAAACTTTGCCAATAACATCCACGAATCGGCACTATCTTTCTGTTGGCGGGAGGCCTACACTGATCCACATCGCCTTGTATGGATCACTGACCATGAACACTAGACAGTACTTCTTCCCGTTTTGAAGCCATAGGACATAAGAACCATGCAGGCACAAGAGACAGTTTCCCCTTTCACAGGCACTTTCACGGAAGTTGGGAAAACACACATCGTTCTGCAACAGGCCACTGGGCAGGTAAACCTATCACCAGACCTCTGTGTTGGACTTTGTTACGGATCGCAAGGCCGAATGGCATCGACCGAATGTAACAGGCTTGGGATGGAAGAGCAGCTATTGTTATTAATTGTAAGAACCTTAACCAATCTTACGTCACTGAATTGTTTTACTATCTCCACAACACAGGTCTTCATTGTTCTGAGACTGCACTTTACATGAAACCAAAGCTTAAGCAAATTCTTTAGTAACCCTAAACCCTGCTTTTGGCTGTGCTCTATGATCATTTAGACGCCACTTGCTATTTACCAAGTCACGGTCACCTGGAACAATCCTGCAGATGCCAAGAACTAAAAAGATTTAGTGGGGTTGTGTGGCATGACGGCACTGAGTGTTCGGCTCAGGCCCAAAAGGTCTCAGGTTTGAATCCTGCCCGATGCCACTGATCTTGTGTCCTCAGTTCTCTCACGTGTAAATGAGTACCTAGCTTTGGTTAGGGACGTCCCCCAGATGGGACATTAAATGCAGGTCCAATGTTTGAGAGTGACACACCAAACGCATGTTAAAAGAACCCACCGCACTTATCGAAAAGAGTAGGGGACCTTCCCGGTGTAAGTGGTTCAAACCTCACAGTCCTATGGCCGCACCTGGGGTCATATTGAGGTCACCTGAGTTAGCACCAAATGGCAGCTGCTCCAGACCCTTGTGATTGAGCCCCAATCTTTTCATTACCTCACAATTCATCCCTTGGCTGAAACAAAAAGACAGAGTATGAAGCCCACCCCATACAAGATTCTCTGTCATACAAGATTCATTGCAACATGTTCATCTAACCCTCGTGAGATGTGAACAACTGACGATAAACCTGGTACTGATTGAGTGTGATGTTCTTTAACAAACCTATTTGTCTATACTTACATTCCGTGGTTGGGCAATAAATTCAAATTGCATCCTGCTTCATAAGAGAGAAAATGGTAGGATTGTCAAGAAGGGACACATTTTATTTGATAAATGGACAAAAATAATACACATAAAACATGTGCCCATTGACTTTGTCTTTGGGCACTTAGCAGCTTTTTACATGTGTTGAACAAGGCCCTTGCAAACAACTGTTTTAACAAAATTTCGTTGCTTTCTCCAGTATAGAATGCATCTAAAATTCCACACATGCAATCTCACACTAGAGAGCAGTCCTGTATTCCTGGTGCAGAAAACATATAAGAGTTCAGAGTACAGTGCCAAAAAATTCCTGTTTTATTATCTACAGGTATACTTTAAGTACATGTTATGAAGTTGGAACTAAAAACATCTGTATAGCAAGTAAAAAAAAATAGTGACATTAAATTTCGTTAAAGTTGATTTGGACCATGTACTTTTTTGAAAACTTGTCCAACCCTGGTCTATTCCTAAAGCTAAAACTTGCAGTATCACAAACTATATACAGGATACAGAGAAAGGAAACACTTAAATTGCAGAACATTTTACAGGTCTTAACAAAATTTCATGTGAAGTACATCAGCTGCTGTCTGGTCCTTCTTGAGATGACGTGGGTCCTTCTTCCTGTGTGTGGGATGATGATGATGATGATGAAGCATCTTCCACTATCTTGTCTTCACTCCCCGAGTTCTCCTCATCTTCAGTTATTGGCTGCAATACAAGATAGACAATCTTAGAGAAAACACTTCATACGTTGTAATGATGTGATGTTATTTGCGTTGTGAAAAAACACCTCAATAATATCTAGTAAGTGCAACATGAACATATGCAGATTTTCTGTGCTTAGCACAATGCTCAGGCCTAGGAAAAAAATTTGTGTTTCCTGTTTCAGTCCTGAAAAAATTAAGGTCGGTAGGTAGGTAGGGATTATCTTTTTTCTCTTTCATTTTTCAGACTTTAGCAATCCCTATATGGTGATCCAACTTATACAATACAGTCAAACAAAGCAAAACTTGTATGAGGACACTTATACTATTTTATAGCTTCAATGTCAATGTTGGAAAACCGATTGTACAATGTTTCATCACTCAGGTGTCATATCATGGAGCTAGAAATGGTCGATCGGCTTGAAAAATTTATGTCCCTTACAGGGGTCCACACTGGTTTTTCTAGGGTTGGTCGGGAAACAGGAAACAACATTTTTTTGTAGGCCTCACAGTGCTTACCTTCAAGATAGACAGAATGTCCTCAGTCTGTTTAGCCATCTCCCTCAGAGTTTCATTCTCTTCTGTCAGATCCTGTATCACTGCCTCCTTTTCCTTGATCACGGCTTTTTTCTCTTCCAGTTGTTGGTGAAGCTAAGGGAAATTAACAAAAATACACTCAGTCTGAAATAACAATTTAAGTTAAAACCGAAGCGATTAAAGTTTGTCCTGGACTTCACAAACGTTTGCACATGTACTCAAAATAATGTACCCATTCATTAAGTGACCATCAAACGTCCTTAATCGTATCTTTTGAAGCCAGAGGTTTGGAATCACTAGTAAATACATGTACGTGTAGTTCCATTTCCAGTATGTAAAAAAACAGTGACAGTCTTGCAAGGGGGAACAATTTGGATTTTCCTGCAATTTTCATTCAGGTACAACAGGTTATTCAACAAACCTGTCAACAGGTTACATTCATGACTACTGGGAATACTTACTAAGTACAAACATACATGTAGCAATAGGTAGATGAGTACACTTACTTCTTCATTTTTCTTGAGTGTGTCTACTAGTGCCAGTCTCCTCTCTTCTGCCACATCCTGCCAGTAGGACTCAGAAGTAGGCTCTAAGGTAGGGTAGGAAACAAGTAATATCATTGTAGCATGAAAGTTCATCTGTGTTGGTACAAGTCATTATGAAATGAAGACCTAGCTTAAACTTCCAACACTTAGACTACGGAAATGGGACTTACCCCAAATTTTCGGATGACTCCATCAACCTTGTTCACGGAATAATAATATCATTGCAGTAAAGTAACAATATATCATTTGGACCATATTGAACATTGACACAGAAAAAATCTCCAAGGAAATACATAATATTGTTTGTCCAATCATGAAGGAATACTAGTAATATTGCTACATCATGTAGTACTTGCAGTGGA